TCAAATTCATATTTTACTATTTGATACGTTTAAAGACATCGAAAATAGTACTGTACCACCCAGATTACAATTCTATGTTGCCCTCTGAGGCTTTTGGTGAAACTTGTACAAATACTGAACAGTGTACCACTACAGATTCTATATGTGCTGTTACTGGTACACATACATGTCAGTGTCCAACCACACATTTTTATGATGGTAACAATTGTGTTAGTAAGTATCTTTGATAAATGAAATTTTGAATGTTTCATTTGTCACTTATAAAATAGTTTCTGCAAATTCTGCAAGAATAGCTAAAAGTGAAATAAAGTTTCCAGGAAAATATGTTGGTTTAAAGGTAATTGATGTCAAATATACACAAGAACAAGCAAAAATTAAAAAAATTACTTGCCAGTACAGAAAGCAAGCTCAAAGAACATTAATTTCTAATATGAAATCAATTACATTAACTCTTATATTCATACATGTGAACATCCTGTCGGGAGTTAGATAATCCTGTTTTCAGTTGTTTCCTCCTGTCTTACCTTTGAAAAGATGAAAGTCCTGAATCAAATATTTCATGAATGAAAATGTTCAGACGCCAATTTGTACTACCCTTTTTAGTCCCCTAGCGACGAAGTCGAAGGGGATTTTAGGTTTGCACTCCATCCGTCTGTCTGTCTGTCTGTCTGTCTGTCAGTTTTCCACACTTTTTTTCTTCGTGCTTGAAGATATTGATTTGATATTTGGTGTATTGTTTTATCATCACAAGTTACAGATCGAGTTCGAATTTTATTCCGGTCTGATGATTTTGTGCAGAGTGATGGTCCCTGGACTTAGAAAATTCACCCAAATAATCAGTGTTCCTCTCTTTTTTTCGTCATGCTTGAAGATATGGATTTGATAATTGATATATAGGTTTATCATGTCTAGTTACAGATCAAGTTCTAATTTTGTTCCTTTCTGATGATTTTGTGCAGAGTTATGGTCCTTGGACTTGGAAAATTCACTTAAATAATCAATTTTCAACACATTTTTTTGACATGCTTGAAGATATTGACTTGATATTTGTTATATAGTTTACACCATGACAAGTTATAGATCAATTAGCATTTTGTTCCAGTACAATGAATTTTTAACCGGTTGGGGACTATGTATTGCAATGCAATACTCTCACAAAGCTTGTTGCAAATATTTATTATTGAAAACATAAAAGTCCTAGTGTATCTAACCTATCAGGTGTAACTGAGAGCAAAGTAATGCTCACTACTTCACACTGCGATGCATTTAAGAGGACCATCAGCATGCTTAAGAAGATCCAAACTGACATTTTTTTTTCGTCATGCTTGAAGAGATTGGTTTTATAATTGGTAAAAGGTTTTATCATGACAAGTAACAGGTCAAGTTTGCATTTTGTTCCGGTCTGATGATTTTATGCAGCGTTATGGTCCTTGGACTTAGAAAATTCACTCAAGTAATCAGTTTTCCTCACTTTTTTGTGTCATGCTTGAAGATATTGATTTAATAATTATGCCCCCGCCGTAGCGGAGGCGGCATTAAGTTTTACCCTTGTCCGTCTGTTCGAACAAACGTACGTCCCAAAATTGGTTTCCGTTCTCTAACTTTAGTTTGCCTCAACAAAATGTTATGAAACTTAAACACAATGCTTATTTTCACAAAATACAGATCAAGTTTGAATTTTTGATGGTGTCATTTTAACCGTTTTAGAGTTATTCCCCTTTACAAATGGAAAAATTGCTGAATTTTTCGTTTCCGTTCTCTAACTTTAGTATGCCTCAACCAAATGTTATGAAACTTATACACAATGCTTATTACCACAAAATACAGATGAAATTTGAATTTTGGTGGTGTCACTTTTACTGTTCTAGAGTTATGCTCCTTTACAAATGGAAAAATTGCTCAATTTTTTGTTTCCGTTCTCTTATTTAAGTGTGTCTCAACCAAATTTTATGAAACTTATACACAATACTTATTACCACAAAACTCAGATCAAGTAAAAATTTGGGTAGCATCACTTTTACCGTTCTTCAGTTATGTCCCTTTATAATTTTATATAATATGCAAGCGGGGGCATCATCTGTGTCCCATGGACACATTCCCAATTTATTGGTATATAGTTTACACCATGACAAGTTATAGATCAAGTTAGCATTTTGTTCCAGTACAATGAATATTTAACCGGTAGGGGACTATGTATTGCCATGCAATACTCTAAGAATGCTTGTTTACCGAGAATTATCAATAACAATGAAACATTTTTTACACCAGCTAAACTCCCTTCAAAAATTTACCAATCTCCTGATTTTCAGTCATGTATGTTTAAAAGTATAACAAAAATACCAAACTTCATGGCAAATTCAAAAAGGGGAAGTCCATAAAAACTGAGAAGATTAAGTGCTATCAACATGACCAATCAACGGAACAAGTAAAAAACAACTACACAAACTGATTTCAGGATTTCAGGATTTCCCAATGTTATTGTTTGTTAATTTTTCATCTATTTATTAATTTTATAAATTGATAGCACATGTTTTTATACGATCGCAAAAAAATTGCGTTCGTATAATGCCATCATGTCGTCGTCGTCGTCGTCCAAAGACACATTTGCTTTCCGGACAATAACTTTAGTTTAAGTGAATGCATCTCTATGAAATTTTACCAGAAGGTTCAATACCACAGAAGGAAGGTTGGGATTGATTTTGGGGGTAATTCAGGAATTAGGGGCAAAAAAGGGGCCAAAAACAAGCATCTTTCTTGCTTCCAGACAATAACTTGTGTTTAAGTGTATGGATCTGTCTGAAATTGTACTACAAGGTTCCATGCATCAAAAGGAAGGCTGTGATTGAGTTTGGGGGTAATTGCCCCAAACGTTTAGAAATTAGGACCAAACCAGGTGCCAAAACAAGCATTTTTCTAGTTTCGAGACAATAACTTGTGTTAAAGTTTATGGAAATCTCTGAAATTGTACATGTTTCCTGAAAAGAAAATAATCTTCAAAATTTACCAAAAAAATTGGGGAGGGGTTTGAAAAAGATTGGTGGGGGATTTTTTTTTTTCAATTTTTGTCTCGCTTGACGGAGTCAAAAAGCGAGACATATGTATGCTGTTTCCGGCGACGGCGACGACGACGACCGGCGGCGACGGCGACGGCGTCAACAATGTTTAGTTTGTGATTAAGTCTAGTTTGTGGTGAACCACAAGTTGTAGGTCAAATCATATTTGGTATACAGTTTTATTAGCATTGACACATATCATATCCATGGAGATTATTTTGGCCCTGCCCCCTCAGTCATGGTCTATTGAATTCGAAACTTTTGCTTATTTTACATGTATTAGTTTGTGATTAGGTCATTTTATGAGGAACCATCAGTGTTAGGTCAATGATATTTGGTAAGCAGTTGTATAAGCATTGGCATATCACATTTCCTTGGAGATTATTTGGCTCAGCCCCCTTAGTCACGGTCTATTGACTTTGCAAATTTTGCTTAGTTAACTTGTATTAGTTTGTGATTAGGTCAGTTCAAGGGGAACCATAAGTGGCAGGCCAATATTAATTGGTATTCAGTTGTATAAGCATTAGCACATCTCATTTCAATGGAGAATATTTGGCCCCATCACCTCAGTCATGGCCTTTTGACTTTGAAACTTTTGTTTAGTTTACATGTATTAGTTTGTGTTAAGATCAGTTTAAGATGAACTGCTAATGTTAAGTCAATGATATTTGGAATGCAAATTTATTGGCATTTGTAAGTATCGTTTCCATGGAGATTATATAGCTCCACCCCCTCTTCATGGTTTATTAACTTTGAAACTTTTACATAGTTTACAAGTTAATGTTTGTGTTTATGTTTGTTTAAAGGGAACAACTTATAAAAAGTCAATGATATTTGGTATGCAGTTGTATTAGCATTAGGGCATCTCATTTATATGGAGATGGTTTAGCTATGTACCTCAGTCATGGTTCATTGACTTTGAATATAAGCCTAACTTGTGTAAGTATTGCCATTTTAATTTCAACATTTGCATAATCAAAATTACAAAAAGCGAGACATATCTCTGTGATAACAGTTTATTTTTTGGGGGGTCATATTTTTTTCTTCAAAAGTTTTGAAATTTAAAATTTTTTCAAAAATTTTTTTTTGGGGACAAATTTTTTGGGGGGATTTTTTTTTCATAATTTTTTGGGGCTTATTTCCAAAAAAAATCCATTTTTACATTGACTATTTCTGATTTATATATAAAAGCATCAAATACTGATATGGCAGGAGATACACACCAAACAGGGTGTGTAAATTATCATATATAACAGATTAACTTAGTATTGTGCAACAGCACAGTATTGCGCAATACCACAGTATTGCATAATAGCACAGTATTGCGCAATAGCACAGTATTGCGCAACAGCACAGTATTACGAAATCGCAAGAAATCTTCAATTTAAAATAAATACAAATCTTTTAACCAATTTCAATGGGATTAAATTAAGTCTTTAATTTTTGAGGGTTCCAACAAGTTTGGGTAGCGTCACTATTATCTTTCTTCAGTTATGTCCCTTTATTACTTTATATGATATGCAAGCGGGGGCATCATCTGTGTCCCATGGACACATTCTCTATTTATTCTTTTATTTTCTTGTATATCTAGGTCAATTACAGTGAATACAAATAAAAAAGATGGAGGCATAAATAAAAAAACTCTTCTTTATTTTCTCTTTGTACTCAAAGGAAAGGTTTAATCATACTAGTACTTTATTCACGTTATTTACCAACAATCAACAATGAAACAGCACAGGAAGACTCAGTTTTGTACAGTTACAATAATAAAGATGTTCTGAATAAATGGGAGAAATAGTTTTTATAGATTCAAAGTATTAAACTGTTACTCAAATTTTGTTTTTTTATTATTTTGTCAGCTGAAGAATTTTTTGTTTTGTCTTTATCTTTAATAATCTGCACTGTTTTGTACTTCTCATTAAATTTTTCTTTTTTCATTTTTGTCAGGAAGAGCCATAGGAGAAAGTTGTACAAATGTTGCACAATGTATTGCAACCAATGCTGAATGTACTGGTGATGGCACAAAGTCATGTAAATGTCCAGTCACACATTTCCATGATGGTACCAACTGTGTTAGTAAGTATCTTTAACTTGTTTATCAAATGAGTTAAAATAGAATGTTTTATATAAACTGTAGATCAAATGTCATATTTTACTATTTGATACGTTTAAAGACATCGAAAATAGTACTGTACCACCCAGATTACAATTCTATGTTGCCCTCTGAGGCTTTTGGTGAAACTTGTACAAATACAGTGTACCACTACAGATTCTATATGTGCTGTTACTGGTACACAGACATGTCAGTGTCCAACCACACATTTTTATGATGGTAACAATTGTGTTAGTAAGTATCTTTGATAAATGAAATTTTGAATGTTTCATTTGTCACTTATAAAATAGTTTCTGCAAATTCTGCAAGAATAGCTAAAAGTGAAATAAAGTTTCCAGGAAAATATGTTGGTTTAAAGGTAATTGATGTCAAATATACACAAGAACAAGCAAAAATTAAAAAAATTACTTGCCAGTACAGAAAGCAAGCTCAAAGAACATTAATTTCTAATATGAAATCAATTACATTAACTCTTATATTCATACATGTGAACATCCTGTCGGGAGTAAGATAATCCTGTTTTCAGTTGTTTCCTCCTGTCTTCCCTTTGAAAAGATGAAAGTCCTGAATCAAATATTTCATGAATGAAAATGTTCAGACGCCAATTTGTACTACTCTTTTTAGTCCCCTACCGACGAAGTCGAAGGGGATTTTAGGTTTGCACTCCGTCCGTCTGTCTGTCTGTCTGTCTGTCAGTTTTCCACACTTTTTTTCTTCGTGCTTAAAGATATTGATTTGATATTTGGTGTATTGTTTTATCATCACAAGTTACAGATCGAGTTCGAATTTTCTTCCGGTCTGATGATTTTGTGCAGAGTGATGGTCCCTGGACTTAGAAAATTCACCCAAATAATCAGTGTTCCTCTCTTTTTTTCGTCATGCTTGAAGATATGGATTTGATAATTGATATATAGTTTTATCATGTCTAGTTACAGATCAAGTTCTAATTTTGTTCCTTTCTGATGATTTTGTGCAGAGTTATGGTCCTTGGACTTGGAAAATTCACTTAAATAATCAATTTTCAACACATTTTTTTGTCATGCTTGAAGATATTGACTTGATATTTGTTATATAGTTTACACCATGACAAGTTATAGATCAATTAGCATTTTGTTCCAGTACAGTGAATTTTTAACCGGTTGGGGACTATGTATTGCAATGCAATACTCTCACAAAGCTTGTTGCAAATATTTATTATTGAAAACATAAAAGTCCTAGTGTATCTAACCTATCAGGTGTAACTGAGAGCAAAGTAATGCTCACTACTTCACACTGCGATGCATTTAAGAGGACCATCAGCATGCTTAAGAAGATCCAAACTGACATTTTTTTTTCGTCATGCTTGAAGAGATTGATTTTATAATTGGTAAAAGGTTTTATCATGACAAGTAACAGGTCAAGTTTGCATTTTGTTCCGGTCTGATGATTTTATGCAGCGTTATGGTCCTTGGACTTAGAAAATTCACTCAAGTAATCAGTTTTCCTCACTTTTTTGTGTCATGCTTGAAGATATTGATTTAATAATTATGCCCCCGCCGTAGCGGAGGCGGCATTAAGTTTTACCCTTGTCCGTCTGTTCGAACAAACGTACGTCCCAAAATTGGTTTCCGTTCTCTAACTTTAGTTTGCCTCAACAAAATGTTATGAAACTTAAACACAATGCTTATTTTCACAAAATACAGATCAAGTTTGAATTTTTGATGGTGTCATTTTAACCGTTTTAGAGTTATTCCCCTTTACAAATGGAAAAATTGCTGAATTTTTCGTTTCCGTTCTCTAACTTTAGTATGCCTCAACCAAATGTTATGAAACTTATACACAATGCTTATTACCACAAAATACAGATGAAATTTGAATTTTGGTGGTGTCACTTTTACTGTTCTAGAGTTATGCTCCTTTACAAATGGAAAAATTGCTCAATTTTTTGTTTCCGTTCTCTTATTTAAGTGTGTCTCAACCAAATTTTATGAAACTTATACACAATACTTATTACCACAAAACTCAGATCAAGTAAAAATTTGGGTAGCATCACTTTTACCGTTCTTCAGTTATGTCCCTTTATAATTTTATATAATATGCAAGCGGGGGCATCATCTGTGTCCCATGGACACATTCCCAATTTATTAGTATATAGTTTACACCATGACAAGTTATAGATCAAGTTAGCATTTTGTTCCAGTACAATGAATATTTAACCGGTAGGGGACTATATATTGCCATGCAATACTCTAAGAATGCTTGTTTACCGAGAATTATCAATAACAATGAAACATTTTTTACACCAGCTAAACTCCCTTCAAAAATTTACCAATCTCCTGATTTTCAGTCATGTATGTTTAAAAGTATAACAAAAATACCAAACTTCATGGCAAATTCAAAAAGGGGAAGTCCATAAAAACTGAGAAGATTAAGTGCTATCAACATGACCAATCAACGGAACAAGTAAAAAACAACTACACAAACTGATTTCAGGATTTCAGGATTTCCCAATGTTATTGTTTGTTAATTTTTCATCTATTTATTAATTTTATAAATTGATAGCACATGTTTTTATACGATCGCAAAAAAATTGCGTTCGTATAATGCCATCATGTCGTCGTCGTCGTCGTCCAAAGACACATTTGCTTTCCGGACAATAACTTTAGTTTAAGTGAATGGATCTCTATGAAATTTTACCAGAAGGTTCAATACCACAGAAGGAAGGTTGGGATTGATTTTGGGGGTAATTCAGGAATTAGGGGCAAAAAAGGGGCCAAAAACAAGCATCTTTCTTGCTTCCAGACAATAACTTGTGTTTAAGTGTATGGATCTGTCTGAAATTGTACTACAAGGTTCCATGCCTCAAAAGGAAGGCTGTGATTGAGTTTGGGGGTAATTGCCCCAAACGTTTAGAAATTAGGACCAAACCAGGTGCCAAAACAAGCATTTTTCTAGTTTCGAGACAATAACTTGTGTTAAAGTTTATGGAAATCTCTGAAATTGTACATGTTTCCTGAAAAGAAAATAATCTTCAAAATTTACCAAAAAAATTGGGGAGGGGTTTGAAAAAGATTGGTGGGGGATTTTTTTTTTTTCAATTTTTGTCTCGCTTGACGGAGTCAAAAAGCGAGACATATGTATGCTGTTTCCGGCGACGGCGACGACGACGACGGCGGCGACGGCGACGGCGTCAACAATGTTTAGTTTGTGATTAAGTCTAGTTTGTGGTGAACCACAAGTTGTAGGTCAAATCATATTTGGTATACAGTTTTATTAGCATTGACACATATCATATCCATGGAGATTATTTTGGCCCTGCCCCCTCAGTCATGGTCTATTGAATTCGAAACTTTTGCTTATTTTACATGTATTAGTTTGTGATTAGGTCATTTTATGAGGAACCATCAGTGTTAGGTCAATGATATTTGGTAAGCAGTTGTATAAGCATTGGCATATCACATTTCCTTGGAGATTATTTGGCTCAGCCCCCTTAGTCACGGTCTATTGACTTTGCAAATTTTGCTTAGTTAACTTGTATTAGTTTGTGATTAGGTCATTTCAAGGGGAACCATAAGTGGCAGGCCAATATTAATTGGTATTCAGTTGTATAAGCATTAGCACATCTCATTTCAATGGAGAATATTTGGCCCCATCACCTCAGTCATGGCCTTTTGACTTTGAAACTTTTGTTTAGTTTACATGTATTAGTTTGTGTTAAGATCAGTTTAAGATGAACTGCTAATGTTAAGTCAATGATATTTGGAATGCAAATTTATTGGCATTTGTAAGTATCGTTTCCATGGAGATTATATAGCTCCACCCCCTCTTCATGGTTCATTAACTTTGAAACTTTTACATAGTTTACAAGTTAATGTTTGTGTTTATGTTTGTTTAAAGGGAACAACTTATAAAAAGTCAATGATATTTGGTATGCAGTTGTATTAGCATTAGGGCATCTCATTTATATGGAGATGGTTTAGCTATGTACCTCAGTCATGGTTCATTGACTTTGAATATAAGCCTAACTTGTGTAAGTATTGCCATTTTAATTTCAACATTTGCATAATCAAAATTACAAAAAGCGAGACATATCTCTGTGATAACAGTTTATTTTTTTGGGGGTCATATTTTTTTCTTCAAAAGTTTTGAAATTTAAAATTTTTTCAAAAATTTTTTTTTGGGGACAAATTTTTTGGGGGGATTTTTTTTTCATAATTTTTTGGGGCTTATTTCCAAAAAAAATCCATTTTTACATTGACTATTTCTGATTTATATATAAAAGCATCAAATACTGATATGGCAGGAGATACACACCAAACAGGGTGTGTAAATTATCATATATAACAGATTAACTTAGTATTGTGCAACAGCACAGTATTGCGCAATACCACAGTATTGCACAAAAGCACAGTATTGCGCAATAGCACAGTATTGCGCAACAGCACAGTATTGCGCAATCGCAAGAAATCTTCAATTTAAAATAAATACAAATCTTTTAACCAATTTCAATGGGATTAAATTAAGTCTTTAATTTTTGAGGGTTCCAACAAGTTTGGGTAGCGTCACTATTATCTTTCTTCAGTTATGTCCCTTTATTACTTTATATGATATGCAAGCGGGGGCATCATCTGTGTCCCATGGACACATTCTCTATTTATTCTTTTATTTTCTTGTATATCTAGGTCAATTACAGTGAATACAAATAAAAAAGATGGAGGCATAAATAAAAAAACTCTTCTTTATTTTCTCTTTGTACTCAAAGGAAAGGTTTAATCATACTAGTACTTTATTCACGTTATTTACCAACAATCAACAATGAAACAGCACAGGAAGACTCAGTTTTGTACAGTTACAATAATAAAGATGTTCTGAATAAATGGGAGAAATAGTTTTTATAGATTCAAAGTATTAAACTGTTACTCAAATTTTGTTTTTTATTATTTTGTCAGCTGAAGAATTTTTTGTTTTGTCTTTATCTTTAATA